AGCAATTATAAAAATTTTTAAGTGCACTTTTAACGGATCTATAGCTTAAAGGTCTACAGCTAACTAATCATTATCATCCCTAAAATAACAGAAACCCTATTAATTATATCAACGGTAGATAATAAAAACCTCCCTACCCCATCTTTTTTCGTAAACCATATAACTCCGGTCTCTGAGCAATATACATATGTCTAGAGAGATTTTCAAGCATATCTCTGTATTCAACCTATAAATTATTATGGATTCTACGCCTATTAGTTATTAAACTGTTACTTTCCATTGTAAAGTTTACTACAAAGAAATTACGAGATTTTCATAGCCTGTCATAGATAGCTCAAAAGTTGTTACACTAATTTAACAAAGGGAAAATTCATCAAATTACTCACTAATTTAATTTTTTTAAATGTTATACGACGATCAACGGACGTTGATACCTAATTATTTAAATATAATATCAGATTTAGAATTATTAAACTACAGTAAATGTATTTAAGGTTATAAACATAGGCTTTATACATCCATTTAATATTTTTATATTTCACTTCTTTCACATTAGTACTATGAAATAGTTTTTTAACAATAACATTGCGTTGATTAGGTGAATTTTAAATACTTTTTCAAACTTAAAAACAATTTAAATTTAGTTAGTAAATTTCATTTATTTAATTTCCTTGAAAAAATGTGATTTCCGTAAAATAATATTAGTTTACACAAATTATTATTTATAATAATTTCTCTCCATTACTTTCTATATTTCATATTGTTTTTTTCTAAAATTATCCGCTTTCCAACGATATAACTTCTGACAAGTATTTCCGGAAATTCATTTTCATCCTCAATACACATTTTCCCTTTTTTCTTCATTTTTCAATTATCAAATTCTTTCAAAAGTTATATTTAGCATTTTTTTGGTAATTATTAATAATGAGAGATGGTTAATTATTTACGATTAATCAAATTAAATGTACTTTAGAGGAAGATATGTTGAACATTTCGGCATTTAAGCTATGTAAAGTGACATTAATGGGGATAAGACCTCAATGATATTAAAGACCACTTAATTATACAACGATACACGAGTTTAATCAAAATCTTTTCAAAATCAAAATTTTCTGTGCAACTAACTTTCTGTCTTTCAGTAATAACAAACAAATCATTATAAACTACAAAAATTAAATGAAGATATTATTTACCATTAAATGAATTATGGAAGTTTGTTAGCAGAAGGATTCATATAAATAAAATCAAATAAGATATGAAATATAACATATTATATCTTTTAACATTTTTACATAATATATTTTAAATATCAAAACTTTTAATCCATTACTTATTATTGCCATTTTTCATTACTTATATATATTTATTTGATTTATTATATTTCCATATATTTGCCATTTTGTACTTATCATCTTTTTGTGTGTAAGGCATATATATCATAACCTTTCGTACTTATTCATTACCTGTTATTATCATAAACTAAGCTTTTGTTAATTCATCTAATTACATTTTATTATTTAGATCTTATTATTCCATTTCATGTTTCTTCTTCATCTAATACTACTCTTCATTATTTATTTCCGTTTTATAGTTCAATTGAAATACTCTATAAAACCAATTATGTCAAGTTCCACTTTTGGTAAAATTAATTCAGCCAACAATTTGCAATTACATCGCTGCCATACTCCTATCAACCTTAATAAATAAGTATAATCACTTAACTTTTCAATTTTTAGCTTGATTCTGCATTTACACAAAAAAACCATTACGCAAAAAGTTTTTTTTATACAGGGAAGTGCTTACAGAACCCTACAACATGTTTTTCAATTGAAAACTCAGAGTTGAAATTTTTAATGATCCCAATACTTCGCATTACATTAAAATAAAATAATATCCATTTTCAAATATTATTTACAGTCAATATAAAAAAAAAAGTTCAAAATTTATTTATTTTTTAACCTATGCTTGTTCTACATTTAGAGAGTTGAAAACAAGTATTCATTATTTTTTTTAAATGATTAGTTTCTTTTTCAGTGTCCATATTTGTGTCAGGCTGTCTACTAATTTTACATTTCACAGACATTAGTGTTAAGCTATATCTCTTTTTTTTTTCTATATCTTCAGTTCAAATAAAACCGAACAACTCACAAAATTACTAACCTAGACTCTAATAAAGTTGCATTAATAACATTTTAAGCACATATTGAAACACCATAATACAATACTATATTTGTAATTAAATGACTGTATCATGGTTAGAGACTAACATCATACAGTGCCAATTTTGATGCCTACTTCAATAAATAATCAACCATCCTAAGCCTAAAAAAGTTATATTTGTATAAAACATTGTCTGATTAAAATAACAATTAAGTCTAAGTGTGGAAATTTTAACCACATAGTGAGACTGCCTTTGTTTTGTTATTCGCATTTTTAATTTTAGAAATTTGACATATACCTATCATTTATTGGTTATTTATACACAAGTTGTAATATATATGTTTGAAGGGAAATGATGGAAGATGTTATTTATAATACATACAACCCATATATTTGCAAAATATAATAAATCATATACATAAACTAAATTTAATAATTATAATGTTGCTAGAAAATTAATCTTTATATCTTAACTTTGTTATTATTATACAAAATAGAAATTCTATTAATGAACAAATAAATATTTTTAGGTTCAAATATACAATACAAAATATAAATGAATTAATACAACATACAAATTAATGAATACAAGATATGTTTTTGTTTATACATCATGAATAAAGGAATTTAACATTACAAATAAAGCATTTTTAAATGCATCAGAAAAATCTGAATAACTAATGAGTATTCTAATAATTTACTGGATTATTCTCCATCTTCTTCAAACACCTTTAAAAAGGCTTTATTAATAATATGTCTTTTTGGAGGTACAACCTTACTAGTATTTACAGAAAAAGTGTCTGTTTTATATTTTTTAAATGGCCCAGCATGTTGCTGGAAAATCACTCTTTATGGTGCATTCGCAATACCACGGGCACAGGCTGCCATTTTGTTTAAACTAGTGCTGGTTTCAATATTACAAATATTTTTATTCCACAAAGTCCGCACACATCTTCCCCAAGCCTTGTTCCATTTCACATATGCACAAACTTTGTTCTGGTTGAAGTAATTGGTCCAACCCTTCTCCTAACATGGACCCATAATTCTGTGCAATTGTTTTGGGTTTATTTGTATTTCCGCACTGTTTTTCTATTATTTGGACGAGTTTATTGAACGGGGCCATAATTTTCTCTTCGCCTTTGTTTGATTTATTTTTTGTCTTAGGCTGCAATACATACCGTTGTTCAATAAAGATGAATCATCGAGTACTTCAGCCTGTCCTTCATGTTCACACTCAACAGTAGGGGAACGCTGAAAAAAAAAAAAAATTACCAATCTTAGGCCTGGTATCATCCAACTAAAAAATCAGATTTTTTAATTTCGTTATAATTTTTTCCCTTCTATTTTTTGCGATGCTTATAACACATTTAGTTGAGATTTTCATTTTTAGAGGAGGGTCTATGTCTGGCACACTTTAAGACTCAATTTTACAGAGAACAAATAAAAGCTATGTAACATTTACATTAATAATGAAAGTCGAGGAAAAAACAAAACTAATCCTTAATTGAAACAGGAAAGAATGGAATCAAATTCATAACAGAAGAAAATAAATAATTTGTTACGGGTAAACAGATAATGTGGAGGGTTAAGGAAACAAGACAGAATGGCTAAGGCATCATAGGGCATTTTCTCTTTATAGTCATTACCCTATGTACATTGTTTTGCTATATGAAAAAGTATAAAAAAAATAACTTAATCATAGACTAGGAGGGATATCGAAAACTAACAATGAACTTCCAATTAACTAAATATAAATAACCAGTTAAATGCTAAATAATTAACACCCCTTGTCCATTGTTTCCTTTGAGATGATGTACTTAAGTTGGACGTTAGAAAAGAAAATAGAACTAAATTAACTTACTACAGACTTAATTGATTGTTTGAATTGAAAAATAATAAAGTAACACTTGCAAATTTAGTAAAAGAGGAATTAACCATTCACTAAATTGTAAAAAATGTCTATACAGTAAATCAAAGAACCTCATAAATAAATGAAGAAAAAAATTTTTAAATGCATTCCTTGAATCAAATAATTCAAAAAATATTGGCAGCTCATTGCAAAGTAATTAAGTGAAAATTCATTATTTCTTAAGTAATCAAGAACTTTGAATATCTTTTTCTTTATAAAATCAGAAAATTGTGTGCTTCTTGTAAGTATAATTGATGTATAAAAGGGTTTGTTTCATTTCCATGCCCATACAGTGTTTTTGTATAGGTAAATAAAGTCAAAATTCAAAAAAAAAAATCTTGAAAGTTAACCTATATCAAATATGCACATAGTGCATGAATTGAATGCAGTAAACGGAGGATATATCAAGAATTTTCACTGGTTAGAGAATTAATAATTGACTATGTTTAACGGAAGGAAATTGACAATCCTAGCAATTGTGTGTGAAAAATTACATAAAATCGCGTTAATTAGCTTTACAGAAATATATTTTGAAAAACAAGGTAAAATGTATTTATAGAGAAATGTCATAGCAAAGAAATAAACAACTGATATTAATAAGGAAAACTAAGATCAATTTTATGCTTACCTTGTATGATTCTCATGAATTTTCGACATCTGTCATCTTCTTTGTTTTCTCCACTTATTTTCTTCTACTTGCTTTTATTTTATAGAAGACATAACCAAAAGTAGCAATCAACTCCACGGCAATTCTAGAAGGTCCATGTTGTTTGCTTGGACTGACTCCGTCCTACTGAGCACATTTTCCATGGTTAACGAGCTTCGATTAGTTCCTTATTTTGCCGCAAGTTTGCCAGAATTTTTGCCAAACCGAGTTTGCCTGTAGTGTGGGCCCAGCATTATATTTTGGATCTTTAGTGTATGGATATCAATAATTAATACCAGCTCGCGTTTATTGGCAACACTGCTTAGTGAGGTTATATGTTTGTATCATAAACCGTATTTGTTGTTTTGGTTATTAAGAATATATATCTGTTAGAAGTAAAATGACTAAGTTAGAAGTTAGACCGGAGGAGAAGACTACGGGTGACAATGAAGATTCTGAATCGGTTGAAGAACAGCCTTTGGATATTGGTGAACATTACCTTGTAAGGCGTAAATCTGACGATTGGCGTAAGTGTGGATTTGAAATTATATTGACTATAGCCTTGTGAATTCAGTGATGTAATTTTTATTCCTTTGTTTAGATCCTGCTGAAATCATCCAGTCCCGTTTCAATGAACAGGAGAATCATTATGAGTATTATGTCCACTATGAAGGATATAATAGGCGTTTGGATGAATGGGTTCCAAGAGATAGGTAATGTTAAAAGTTGTATCAACTAAATATTTTGGTGTTATCATTCCCTTTCTACTGAAATGTACCAAATTTAGTTATAATACAGAAAACCAGCTCCTGAGGCACTATGTGTGCAATAGAAGTGACAAAGCAAGGGAGGAACAGTCATGTCACTTTTGTTTACAATCTATCAAAACCTACCCAGTATAATGAGAAATAATTTTATTTTTGTTGTCTTGGGTGTCATTAATTTTTGAATATATCAGTTGCCATGAAGCATTATCAACGATGAAGTACTCAACTGATATCGAGATTTTGGCCGATCCCAATATATCTACCTATCTGCCTTTTTTGTATTTTTTTGACTTTAAAACTTGTAAAAGCATGTCCTATTTTGCCAGCTCTGTGAAGGTTCATATAGTTCCATATGAAATATCCTTAATTTTGTGTTCTTATCTGTCAAGATTCATTCACTAATGCTTGAAAAGTTCTCCTAATTGCTAAATGAGTGTCAGTTATCTAGGTATCTACTTATATTTAAATTTTAACAGATACTGATATCAGCCTTCTTTTTCTTTCAGTTGAGAATCACTCCTTTTCATTTGGAGTATTCTTCCTATTGTTTATAAATGTGTCAATCAATTATCTAAAGATCAACCTGAATCTGAATAGAAATTTAAGCTAATACCGAAATTCCTAAGACCAATGTATTGAACTTTTTTCTCTTTCCAATGACTATGTCATAATCCCACATGGAATTTCTAGGTATTAACCTGTACAACAATTAGAGTTCATACTAATATTCCTAAGATGGATAAATCGGGCCTTTGGCCTGGCCTCATTTCATGGTGGTTACTGAAGCTTTATTTCGAATATTATTTTCATTGGCATGTCAACCAACCAAGCTGTTGGGGATAAAATGAAACAAATTATTTTTATTTGAAAAATCATTTGATTTAATTAAAATCAAGAAGTTTAAAAAAGTGATTAGTACAAAATTTAGAATTCCATTTTTCCTGACTTTATGATTATCTCTTGAGCCAGGAATGATAACAGAAATGAACAGTGGTAAATTATCCCTATAGTTTAAGCGTCCTAGCTTACTTATCTTTTTTTTTTTGCCATCCACTTCCTCACTTTTTAGCTATATGGGATTTTCCATGGCCAGTGTGAGGTCAGGGTATTAATACCAGGGTTAAAAGCCATCTCTTCCCCACCCCTTTTCCCCAGCACCAGGACGTGAACTCTTAGTTATTTTATAAAATTGTCCCATCTCTTTGCCAGGCTATGCGGTGCTGCACACACATTAGCATGATTCGGTCACCTTGGCACTCCAAAAAACCTACTTATCTATTATAATTCCCAAAATAGTATATTTACTACCTTTACCTTCTTTCTTGGCCCAAGAGTTTCAGGCTGTATACTCCATCTCTTCACTTATTATAAAATAGGCTTAGGTTCTTCATCAATCTTTACGTTTTCATTGCTCTCATTCAGTAGTATCTACTCCTCTATTATTCTTAAATTCCAAAGATATGGCAAATATTTGGGAGAACTCCATCAGATGGAGAATTCCTATGCACTACAATTGGTTGGAGATAAACCACAAGTCCTTGTCATGTCAACAGATAAAAGTTATTTTATCAAGATTACTGTTGTATACAATCCTTAATCGTCTAAAACTTTATTCTTATTTGCAAGAAGGAATCACATGGAATGGTAATATAATTATGGTGTGGGCTAGAATCCATCCCTCTCAGAAAAAGGAGCTTAGCAATACTTTATTATAGATAAAAAAACAGAATTGTCATTGAACAACCAATGTCAATTCCTTATAGCTTTCTGAACCAATATTGAAGATATTTGGATGACTTGTTAAATTTATGATGATAGTATCCGAAGGAAAATCACAATTCATTCTATTAGGACTCAAGTTTTATATTGTAGTTGTTGGGAGGTCTTTCAAGTTCTCTTGGCAGTTGAAGCATAACATTTTTCTAATTGTCAGTATTTATATATTAAAAATATTTTAAAATTATTTTAATATTTCATAATAGTATTTCTTTTGTTAGGATAATGAACTCAAGGTTTGATATGTCTGATCAACAGTGGAAGAATGTGAATGTTGAAAAAGGTACTGTTGATATACTTGAACTCACTGATAGGAAAATAACCAGAAACCAAAAGAGGCGCCATGATGAAATTAATCACATCCAAAAGGCAAGTATTAAATGTATATATAACTAATTAATATCCTTAGGCAATAATTAGTATTATTATTACAAATGATTCCTAGTGTTTATGTTTATCATACATGTACATCATATCACATGGAGCTATGTGCCATTTCTACCTATGTTTAAACTATTCTCCCTTATTGTCATTTAGTTTAAACCACTGAAGTATTTTTTAAACCAAACTTTACAAATTTAAAATAGTTACAAGTGTATAACCTTCTGCAATTCAGTTTAAACTTCACTAGTTCACTCTGTCATAAGAATTAATCTGTATATTTTTTTTTATCTTTGGTCTTTCAGTTTAATGTTTTTACTTTGAATAAAAATATGAATAAATTTATTGCAGTTATTATTTAATTTATTTTCTTTGAGGAATGCTGGTATGGTTTTAGAATTTTTTTATTTTAACTTAGAATTACTAATGGATTGTATCAATTTAGACTTATGCTGAAATGGATCCTACTACTGCTGCACTTGAGAAAGAGCATGAAGCTATTACCAAAGTAAAGTACATAGACAGAGTTCAAATAGGAGTTTATGAAATTGATACGTGGTATTTCAGTCCTTACCCTGATGAATATGGAAAAGCCAGTAAACTTTGGATCTGTGAATACTGTCTGAAATATCATAAATTTGAAACATCATATTGTATGCACCTTGTAAGTATATTAAATATTTACTTTAATGATATAAAGTCAGGGATTTAGTTTGAACTTTATTGGGACGTATGAAACTGTAACTTATAATTATCAAAGTAGTAATTTACTAAGTTAATATTTTAGTAAAGGTATATGAAGGTACATACTTGGTATTTGATAAACTGCAAAGTTATAATCTAATGGTCTATCGGTTATGAAATTTACAATATTATAAAAATAATGAGAAGAAGAATAGTTGGGGTGATCAGTCAAATAAGAAGGCAAAATAAATGATAATATTTATTTTGTCATTTGCCGACGTTTCGACCTGAAGTTCAGGCCATCATCAGGACTAAGACAAACTACTATTTATATACTAAGATAAACTACTATTTATATACTAAGACAAACTACTATTTATATACTAAGACACTATTTATTTCAATTTCTTATATAACTTCATATTTTTCTCTTTTACACTTTATTCTAAGATTCCCTTTACAATACTTATGTCACCTTTTTGACTATGTTTACTTCATCATTCCACACTTTGTACCTGGTATTATTATTTGTCTCTTGTTCTTACTATTGTCATTATTCTAACAACTGCATTTTACTGTAATTTTTATGTTTCTCATACCTTGTTATCTGGTTCTTTTCTTAGCCCTGATGATGGCCTGAACTTCAGGTCGAAACGTCGGCAAATGACAAAATAAATATTATCATTTATTTTGCCTTCTTATTTGACTGATCACCCCAACCATTCTTTTTCTCTTACAGTCAACTATTTTACCACTATCATTATAAAAATAGTTAAGTTCACACATCCTTAATGTGAACTAAGGTCATGAAAAGTTTTATATGTCAGTAAAACAATTATTAATATTTAGGAGTATATTATCAGAGAAAGTTAAAAAAAAAACCTAAACAATATATTTATTTTTTCCTTTGAATTCACTATGAAGTGGAAAGGGAAAAGAAGAACACGTACGATAAATGTATCCCTTTCCTAAAAGAGAAATTCCGTGAGACCTTCGGAGAGAGAGAGTTCACCGTGAGAGGCCTCTGGTTTGGGTCTCGCGGAACTATCCCAAAAAGAACAAGGAGCTTCCTCGAGGAACTAGGTGTCGACATTAAGGACGTAGCGAGGTTGGCTGAAAATATAGTCCTCGACTCCCTGGGAATCATTCACCACCACGTGCATGGCTAGCCCGAGAGTTTTAATTTATGTATTTGTTTATTTATTTTTTTAGTGAATAATTGAAAGCAATAGCGATAAAGAGAGAGAAGTGAGAGAAAGGGAAACTTAATGTTAAATAAAAAAAAAAAAAAAAAAAAAAAAAAAAAAGCATGAACAATGAGAAGAGGGAAAAAGGAAAAAAAAAAAAAAAAAAAAATTATAAGGATAAATAAAATAATAAAAATGTATATATATATATATTTCTGTTTTACTAATATTAACTAATACTTCTGTATATTTATATATAAGTTCATATATTGTCTTAAGGATAGAAGAGTATGCTGTGTGTATAGCAACCCAATGTAATTGGGCAGCAATCCTTTATATTTTATATTTTATGAAAATAAAGTGTTTCTCTCTTTCTCTCTCTCCCAATAAATAATCCATCTATTCTCTTGCTATTATAGAGAATTAAAATATGATATTTTTTTTTTTATGATATATCAAAAACTATTTCCACCTTCCTTCTGACTGGTCAAGATTCATTCTGTAGGTCTGCCACTAAAAAAATTTCAATCCGCTGTATCCTAATTTGAGTTGGTATCACTAGATGTGGGGATATTAAAGTTTATGCTTTAACGTTCTTGGCCATCAGAACCTCTGTAGTTTTTTTACTTTGACCAATCTTTCCTAGACATTAGGATCTGAAATTCGATCCTTTATGTTTTCCATTTCAAGAATTATATATGGATAATTAGCCTAATAAAAGTTCATTTTTACCAAATTTCATTCAATGGATCAGGTTATTATGTAATCTATTTTATTCAACTTAATCTGACTAATGTTTTTATACGTATAATTTTTATATATGTTCTTTCAATTTCAATATAGTTTTTTCTTTTGTATTAATAATAATTTTATATTTTAGAATCAGTGTAAGAGACGACAACCTCCAGGTAATGAAATTTATCGAAAAGGTACCCTAGCTATTTGGGAAATTGATGCTCTCCAACATAAAATGTACTGTCAAAACTTGTGTCTCCTTGCCAAATTATTCCTTGACCATAAAACTCTGTACTTTGATGTTGATCCGTTCCTGTTTTATGTGCTCTGTGAAGTTGACAAGGAAGGGGCTCATATTGTAGGCTACTTTTCAAAGGTCAGTATTATTATTTTTTCTATATTTTCATGTTCCTGAATTATAAAGAAATTAAAAATAAATAAATCAGTAGTTTTAGCTTGCCTAATTTTGTATTTTTAACATAAACAGTCATAACTATAAGTATTTGTTATGTATAATTGTATTTAAAACTATCTGTGATGATAAATCATGTTAAGTGGCAGAAAAATTAAATCTTATCTCATTAATAGGAGAAAGATTCACCTGATGGAAATAATGTGGCCTGCATTCTAACATTGCCACCATACCAGAGGCAAGGTTATGGAAAGTTACTGATTGCATTTTCTTATGAATTATCGAAACTAGAAGGAGCGGTTGGAACACCTGAAAAGCCATTGTCCGATTTAGGAAAGCTGTCCTATCGATCTTATTGGTCATGGGTGTTGTTGGATGTATTAAGGGACTTTAGGGGATCAGTATCAATAAAGGATCTTAGGTATGTATCCTTCAATATAATTTCCTTAGATTTGAAAGTAGTTATAATGTATCATTAGTTCTGTAAATAGTAGCATTGTGGACATGTGGAAAATTTTTTTTTTTCTTATTTTATTTATGTGTTCTTACTCAGTAAATTATGCATTTTTGGGAATAAAGGAATTTACTCTCACTTTTTAAAATTCATAATTAATTTAGTGCTTATAATTGTAATTCTCCAAAAAATCCCAAATGTCGAGATTCAAGCAAATCATGAGAGCCTTCATGAACTTTTTTGGGTTTTTATTTTTATACAGTTATTCCATTTGTTCTGGATGGAATTTTATACAGTTATTCCATTTGTTCTGGAATTATTCCATCTGGTGGTGTCGGCATCGGGTTCGCTAAGCCTTATTATTATTTATTATTATTCCATTTGTTCTGAAGCAAAAAAAAATATCTGGAAACTTCCTATGTCGCAGATCTTATCTTTTACTTCAGTTGATTTATTCAATATAGATTTTAAACTCTTTTTTGTTATCTGAGAAAAATAATATCACAAATAGTTGGATGCTATTTGTTTTTTTCATTGAAAACATTATTATTAATGTATTTTTACAGTTTTTTTTTTTTATGAAATTGTAGATGTTATATTTTTAGGGGCAAAACATGTTTTTAGGAGTAATAGTATAATTAGGTCAGTGTTTCTCAAAAGTTTGTCTTCCGATCATTGGGTGTCCATGAGAATATCTTAAGGTATATCACACTGACATAAATCCTCTGGTAATTAAAAGAATATAGGAAACTTGTTAGTAAAATGGTTAAATTAATAAAACCGCTTATTCAATTAGAAGAGGCTTTAGGTCCAAAAACACTGAAAATGTGAAAATGGCAGGAGTGAGGGTGTAAAAGAAAAAAAAATATTGAGGCTCTAAAAGGCACTTATCTTGTATCAATTCAACTCATACAAATCTTCAACTCCCTAAGTAGATTTGGAGGGGCTGTAAAAGTGCACAGAGCCTTTGAAACCAAGGAATTGGTGGGACTAGGTGAAAAAAGGAGTTGACAAAAGTGTACAACGAATAAACTTATACGACATGGATGTGCTGAAATTTTGACGTAATTTACCATTTTTTATGGTATTTTGTCTAGAAAACAATTCTACGTACTAAATCTCAGCTCATTTGATCCAAAGAGACCTGCTGAAGAGGCCGCAATATAACAGAAAAAAACTGTATCAGACATCCTCAAAACTATCATAATCCTATTCTAAAGCAGGAGTCTCCAATCTACACGTCAAGCACCTTTATAATCTGGCTCATGAAGATTTCTTGGTTACATGGTAAGATTTGAAAATGTATTTTAAAAATATGAAATCTGTCAAATTACTTACACATGAGGTCACTACAATATTTATTACATGGTTTTTTTCTCTTAGAAACCTCATTTCACAGCTGAAGTGTCATTTTGTTTTCATCTCAAGAGTGGAGGTCTCAATCTGGCCCATGGAAAATAGTGGAGGCCTCAATGTGGCTCGCGGACCAAAAAAGTTTGGAGATCCCTGTTCTAGAGGATCTAAATCAGATCTAAAATGCACCCCCATGCCTCTAAAGATAGTCCATTCAGGAAAAATACAAATAAAAATTAGTATCATGTGACTCTCTATTTTCTTTTGTTTTGGTTTTTTATCATATTGTTTTATAATTTTGCCTAATTTTTTTTTAGTGAAATGACTAGTATTACTCAAACGGACATTATATCTACCCTGCAGAGCATGAACATGGTAAAATACTGGAAAGGACAACATGTCATTTGTGTGACACCAAAATTGGTTGAAGAACATATTCGATCCGCTCAGTTCAAGCGACCGAGATTATCCGTTGATGTATGTCAACTCAAGTGGGCTCCTAGGCGAAATAAAACTGGAAAGAGATAATTAATAAAAGGTATTTAATATTAAATTACCACTTATCATTAATTAGTTTAATCATTAAATGTCCTTATTCTATTGTCATCTGTGAAGAATTAATTTTATCTTAAGCATTTTAGACTATAAAGATAGATTTGTTTTTAATCTATTCCAGTGAGTAAGGGGACTAATATTTATTATTGTATGATTGTTTTCCATATTTTATTTTATTGTTATTTTTTTTTTCTAGGTTGCCTTGTGCTAAATAAAAGGTGATTGAAGAAAAGAATTTTATAGGATATTAGTTTTTAAATGTCACTTGTTACCTGTTATTATATAACTTGAAAGTATAACTCATATTGTTTGTAATAAATAACAAAAGAAGTTGTTTGTATTGATTATTAAATGTATTATTAATGTCAAATTTGGTATATTCATTAGTTTTTATTTGTATAAATTTGAAAACAAATATACTGTGATCTGTGAATTTACTTAAAAGATAAAAAATGTTTTAGTTAACTTACGTCTTTAGTAGCTAAAACAATATTTTAGTGTAAATGGTAATAATTTGTCTTGTTTTATTAAAATTTTTGCTTATTTTTTTAACTGATACTATAGAACAGTAGTAGTATTTTTTCATTAGTGATATATCATAATTGGATATTTTTGTACAGTAGTTGCTTTAGATTTATATTAAGAATAATTTGATCTCTTATTATTATAATACTTTTTTTTATTGATTTATTAATAAAGTTTTAAATATCATTTGCTGTTATTTATTTTATGTTTTACATTCAAGTTTACTACAATACATTATACCTTATCAAATAATGTATCTATTTATTAAAAAATAGTTTTCAACAAGACATAACAACATGGAAAAATACTATTAATATGTCTTTATTTGATGTGTGTTATTGTTTAGAATTTGGATTTTTAAAAGTTTACGTATATATCATCTCTCAATGTGAAACTTCTTTAGTTAAAAAAACTTTTATTATGGATCATTTCATTATTTATAACATTTTATGGAAAACAATTAATTGTTAATTTGTTGAACTTGTAGTATATCACTTGTTAGTTAGTACTGATTGAAAAAAAATACTTTTTCCAATAGTAAAAATATTTTGTTTTTGACTCTGATTAAAAGTGATTCAAAAGTTACTCGTTTTCGCAATGGGACTGGCATTATGTTTTTGAACATTTTTCTTATTTTCAAAAACATTAAATCCTAAACATTTAATTGTGATTTATCGAAACTTAGTCACATTCTGATGCATGTCAATAAATAAAAATCATTATTTTCTAAACTTTTAGTTATGTACTTATCAATTTATTTTGAATGAGCCCTCAACATTTCATTTTAATCAGACAAATTCACTCTTGTGTCTCAAATGCAGAAATGAATATGCTAGGAATAGCAAAATCGAGCTAAATCTAAAAAATATATAGCATCAACTAAGACCTCTTTTAAATATTGAAAAGAACTTTAAATGGAGCCGAGGAGACTTGATTGGAAGGTTTTATTTTTAAATTCTTTAACCAATTGAATTTACTTTACTTCAAGTTGATGTTAAAATTTATGAAATTATACATGTTTTTATTGATCAGCTTATTTCAAAATTGAAAATTAGTCCTCAAGGAAATGTTAAGACTGCTTAAGCCGTGAGACATTTTCCTCTTATCTAATATTACTAGGAAACATGGAAGTGTAACTTCAAATTTCAATAGATATCGAACTCTAATATCACAAATCAGAAATACCTAGTTCAATATAACTTTTCTTCTATCTTTAAAAGTACCTTTGTACTTAGTATTGTTTTTAAAAATCTTTCTCCCAAGATATCTGTGCTCCTTTTGATCATCAAATGATGAATCTTTGATGATCAAAACGAGTACAGTTAAGATTCAAATTTTTGATGTTTCAATACCTTATTCTGAAATGCACCTGACCTTTAAAAGTATTCCTTAATATAAACTATTTAAGATCCTCAATGTCCACATAAATGGATTAAAAAAAATCTTGTCAAATCTAAGTCCAATCCATTGCATAATATTCACTTGTCTAAATCAAAACCAACCTTAAGATTCTATTGACTATGTATTTATTTGTTAGTTTAATTTACTTGTTGCGGAGATATTAAAAAAGATTAAATAGAGACAACTGAAACTATCATACTATACAAGTACAATACAAAAATAATCTAAATTGAAGGAAATAAAAATCCACTGTTCGAAATGGGAAACTTCTCACTGATCCTTCAGGAAAGAAGAAACAGCAGATTAAGGATTAGCCATTGTGAGTTCTCATAAGTCTACTTATTGACTTGAGAGGACTTGATCCTCCAACCTGCAAGAGCTGTGATTTCCAAAGTACAGTTAAACACGCTCTACACTGAAAACTATCAAGGAAAATTTTGATATGGTGGCAAATCTAAAAGAAAATTTAAAAGACAGCGAAAAAATAGTTAAATAAACATTCACATTTTTAAAAGCTGTGAAACTGTATAACAATTTTAATTTTAAGGTTTTGCCAATGACCCTGCAGAGTAGAGGCAGCAACAAACAAATGTATAAAAAAAACAAATAAAAAGCTTACTTTAAAATTAATGATTTTACTGTAAATTATTCTTAAACTACCATTCATTATGTGGAGTTGGTGTCAACTTTATTTGTTTGGAGTCTATCTCTGAAAATAAATTAAAAACAAGCTGTTTTTACTTATTTATAGAACAAGCTTTGTCATATTTGAAGTAACAGCTATGATACTTCTCATAGTCATAGCCAATGAGGTAGGGGTTTTAAATTTCTATAAAAAATTATATTATTTATGTAGTGGTATGATTTTAACTTTGTGTGCTATCTTTTTTGCTCTGATACTCCAATAAATTCAATCAAAGTTTGTAGAATCATTTTAACAAAATAAGGCATACAAATTTTGTTGTTTATTGATATCTGAAATGAAAGATATAAAATCTCAAACATTTAGAAAAAAATGTTTTAATCAACATCAAATTTCAAGAGATATAATGTACCAAACGGTTCTATTCTAGAATTCTCCCTCACCAAATGTTCCTTAATACTTAAAAACCAGAATAATGCAGGTAGTACAGAAATGTTGATCATTTATAACAGAAATTACTTGTAAGTAACTGGTTCAGCCTTGACCGTAAATCAATCATTTGAGGCTCTTCAACAGTATTCATAAACCTTACACTGTCACATGGAAGATATTAAAAAAAAACTATATCACATACAAGCTCTATTTTTATACATAAGATTATAATGTCACATGACACCATGATTGATCTCTGATGAAATGCTGTCTAATAATTCACATAAGCTTTCATTTTGTCATTATAAAATATAGTAGGAACATCTTCGCATTTGACATTCTTTTCCGTAGCAGTTCTGCTTTCCATTCCACCAGTTCTTGTTGCAACTTTTCTTTGGAGTTTGGAATTAAGACTATATCTACATATAGGAAACATTTTACAAGAACTGTCTGCATCTTCCATTTTCCTATTGCAGTCCATGCTATTCTGCACCCGAAAATCTTATGAATTTCGTCCATCAAGACCATGGACCTTTTGGATTCCTATATGTAGATTTAATTGCCTGTATTAAATTTGATGGCACATCCTTTGCAGCAAAAGCATTCCATATTTCTAGTCGGAGCTCACAATCGAATTCAGCTTTGAGGTTTAGAAAAACCACATAGGTACTTTTATCTCTGTCCCATACATTTTGAAAAATATTTCAGACTGCAAAAATGTGGTCCTGGATCTGCCTTCCATCCAGGAAGCCAGACTGTCCCTTCTCTGTGCCTGTTCCTCTTCATGATGGTTTTCCATTATACGTCTTAACCTTCTTTCAAGGATAGATATACATTATATAAGCTACCAATAGTAAGCTAAACCATCTGTAGTTCTCAGATATTGTCGATGAACTATTTTTATATATGGGGTTTATAGCGCTGTACTCCCAATCTTTAGGAATTTTCTTGCTATCCCATACAGATTGAAACAATCCTTGAACTGCTTTCTAGAGCTATTCACCACCAAATTTCAAAGATTCTGGTGCAATACCATCTCTTCCTGCTGCTTTATTTATTTTTATCTTTTCAAGAGCATATTCTATTTAATTTTCTTCTATAGACTCTTGATTTGCTTCTAATGAAGGTTGTGCCTGAGGCATTGGTGTACCACACTCAACAGAGAAAAGATCCTGTTAGTAACGCCTCCACTGGTCCAAAATATCATCAGAGGCAGCAATTATATTGCCTCGTTCATCTTATATATCCCTTATTGGTTTTTGTTTTTTTCTTGCAGGAGCTTACTTACTATTAATATTTTGCTAGTATGGTATGATTTAATGTCAACTACAACTGCATCTTATTTTTTTCAGTTGTTACTTTTTATTTTATATCTTAATTTTAATTTTAATAATGAAAGAAATAATTTCTTTTTTAAAGACTAGTTCACGTGATTCTATTTATTATGGTTTTTTTCCTGCCTCCTTACCTTTTGCATGGCCCAGATCTATTAAGCAATGGTCAATCTGCATGTTTAGAAATTGTTACCACTGCTCTTCCACGTCTCCTGAAAGATACAAATTTCTGATATTCTTCTCCAAGACAACAGAATATTAGGCTCTCTTTTCTGGGTTATCAAGCACTCTGACTTTAATCACTTTATATATATTCAAGTGTGGCCATGTATTTCATGTTTTTGTTTTATTTTTCTTCCAATATTTTAATTTTAATGAGAATTGTAAATATTTAATTTAATTTTATGGCGACACAGGCATTTCCTCTCTATCAATAATTTGTCCTAAAGGGACAACAGTCCCAGGATAATAAAAATCTATTTTCATTTCATTTACAATAGTTTGTAAAATGTCTAAATACACCTTCATTAAGAAACTCCAAAGTTAGCTAGTTTCAATATTTCTTCATATGCACAAGTTAATTTTTTGATTGCAGCTTAAATTGGTTCCTGAAATGAGTTATAAAAAAAATTAGATTCTAGAATCCCCTCCCCCACTTCTGCAACAGCAGCACATAATCTCTCTTCTAATAATTTTCTGTTTATGTGGTTCATAAAAATATCCATAAATATCAATTAATTTTATTATTTAGTGTGATATATAATAAATTATATGAACCATTAAGACTTTAATTTTTTTTGGTTATGAGTTGTTTTTTAATATTAAAACAAAATATTTTACTTTTTTTGTAATTATTTTAATAATGTTTTATTAGGGCCTATTGTATTTTTTCGCTACCAATTTTTAATATTAAATCGTATTTCATATTCATAGTGAATCTTGTAAGTCAAGACTCAAGTGTTGCCAACATTAAAAATTTGTGAAAAAAGTTCTAGACAGTGCTATGA